TTTTATTTAAAAAAAAAAAAAACATATTTCATTTTATTAACGCGCAGCAAACAATTTCTTGTATCAAAACAAAAAAAAAATAAAATAAAAACTCCATCTGCTTTCAGGACAAATAAAACTCTACTCCATGCCTACATAGATAAGACCGCTTATACGTATGTATATATGTATGTACATATGTACATGTGTACACACGCGTTAAACCATTGCAACAGCTCGTACCAATCAGTTGTTAAGTGCACGTGTACCCAATTATCAAATTGGGTGCTTCTTGCTAACGGCATCTGCGAATAAACCCAGTTGCGCAAAAGCGACGAATTTAGGATATTTTGCGCTAAACAATAATTTTGCATTGAATTATTTTATCAACATTTCCGGGTAAATTCTAAAATATAAACAAACCGCGAATTTTTACAATATTTGTTTTAAACATACATATAGTTAGAGGTATGTATGTGAGAGTATAAATTCAAATATTTATTACATGACACTAAAATTAATGGGCATGACTAGCGAAAAATGCTTGAATCATTTGGTAGAAATATAAACATTTCTCTCTCGAAATACTTAATTAGAGACCACAAAGTAGTATAAACTAAATGCAATATTTATTTCAATGCTTTCGCTAATTCATGGCATTTCGTACATCTGCACTTGACTTTTATATTCATAAAAATTGTAATAGGTAAATTTTATAAGTACTTTATAACTCGACATTGCTTTCAAATGATCTTCATTAGAGTTCAAGCTTATTCTGTTACATGGAAAACAAATAGAAAATGCAGCTAAGGAACAAGAATTTTTAAAACTGCGGGGAAGTAATAACAAAAACACTCGTTAGTTACCGTTAAAAAAAATAATATTATTTTACATATATACATACTTAAGTACTAGCGGACCCGGTGAACTTCGTCTCGGCAAGAATTCATTTTTTATTGCAACATTTTGGTACAACACTTTCACCAACTACTTATTCACTTAGCGACTTGCAGTGGCAAATATATCTGCCCTGATTATGGTTTTGTAATGCCAGAAGGCATATTGGCAAATCCTAGCATTGCAGACGTTTCTTTTAATTTTTTTGTCGGAAAAAATGTTAAGTAAAAAAATGTCTGTCGCAAAATGGTAGTTTAAAGCATACTTATGAGAACAACACATTGGACACAAGAATTTAAAGTTATGTCGGCGTATTTGCTCCAAAAATGTGTATTCGAACGTTATTCAAAATGGGAAACGATTTTGAGTTGATCATCCAAATCAACAGATTTCTGCTCATTTTCATGTAGTTGTGGAAAACAAAATCTAAAATAATTTGAAGCAAAATAATGAAGTTAGCAAAAAATATAATAAAAGCCAACAAAGGGTTGGATTAAATATGAAATAATTTTATGTATATGTTCGTTGTTGACGTTACTCGTTTTGCCGTTAAGAAAACTGATTTTGGTTCTGGTGGTAACGGCAGCAATTTGACTTGTACCACTGTACATCTCAATCCTGGTGTCTTCGAATTAAAGTTTTACGGATTGGGTTTACAAGCAGATGCAAAATTTGTAGATAGTTGGCAATCCTCTTCGTAATTATTACTTCTGGTTAAGAGTGCATATAAATGTGTTTCATTCGCTGAATGCTTTGCAATATTTTACTCAGGTGGCAACCCAAGGGTATTGTAACTTTGTTCGCATAACGGTTGTTTGTAACAGCTTGAAGGAATTGAGAAAGATATAGGCAAATGTATACATAAATGATCAGAATGAAAAGAGAAGTCGATTAAGCGGTGACTGTCTGTCCGTCCGTCCGTCTGTCCGTGTACACGATAACTCGAGCGAAAATTTAGATATCTCAACGAAATTTGTTGTGTAGGTTTCCGTTAATCCATATAACGGTATTTTCGAAAATTGCAAAACCTACGATATTTCAGTTAATATTGGATCCAAATTGTTGAGAATTAGTATTTGAAGTTGAATTTTGGTACAAATACCAGCTTTTCTTCAGAACTGTCCTTTTGCAAAAATATATCGGAAGTAGAAGATATCTATTAAGAAAAGTATATACACTTAATAAAAAGTCACGACAAGAAGTACGAAGCGTCTGTTCTGGTTAACCACCACCAGCATCAAAGTATAGTTATACACATATGTATGTATGTATGTGTGCACAAATGCAATTTTTAATCTTATTTATAAACGTAGGTAAAACAATGCACACTACGCTGTTGGTAAGAGAGCATTTTCAGTGAAAAATTCAAGCAAAGAGAACGCTTTTGTCTTGGTCGAAATCAGCTGGTCAACCCGTTAGGCCGACAGGTAATTTATCCGCTGTGATACGTGGTCTGGTTCTCTTTTGTTTGGGTGCACGTGCACCGAGCAGCATCTACTTAATCCGCTTATGCAGCTGCCAGTAAATTGCGCGTATCAGCGTACAAATATAGACATTAGGATGGGCTGGAAATCCGATATTTTAGAAGCTTTATTTTTAATAGCAAAAATATGGTTCATAATGCTCTAAAAAAATCAAAATATGCGAAAGATTAAAATCTTCGACAGATATCTTAGGCTCGCCCACATTGACAAAGATGTCATCATTCCAAATTATGCAGTACTAATAATTTCGAAGGTAATTGCAATTTTAGTAAAGAAAAATTTTAACTTTTGATATGTCATGGAGTACATATCTATTCACTTTCATCACTAGTTTCGAATTCCACAAAAAGTGCACTCTGTTTGTTTCAATTCAAATTATTTCTGTCTTCAATCAAATTCATAGGCTCTTTCCATGATGCGGGCCCGCCTGGAAGTACTAAGCCAAACGGCGGCAAACAGGCATTCTCCTAACCTTACAGGTAAAAATTACGATTAGGTTTTTCTATAAAAACTAAAAACACATGCTTTGTAAATTTTAAGCAACGATATACTTTTTTTTTTGTTTTGCATAAAAGGAGGGGTATTGAATGAAAAAAAAAGAAACTTTTAATTTTTCACATATCGCACACCTAGATGTAAAGTGAGCTAACTCAAAATCGAGAGAGGGAAATATTACCGTACATATCCAACGCAATTAATACAAAAACAGGTAGAACAATATTTTTTTAGTTAATGTACATAATCATGAAGACAAAAATGTTTATTCATTGGAGGTGAGTCTCATGCATTGATTTATGCAAAAAATCGCACTTATTTTATTTTATTTATTTTTTATTTTTTCAGTTGATCGCACTTTAGATCTAGGTGTGCGATATGTACAGAGCCGAGAAAAAATATTGACAAAGAGAATTTTTCGCAGTGTATGCAAAGTTTTTTATTCTAATTGAATAAACAATATTTTTGAGTTTTTATGGACCAGAAACCCATTTTATCATTAAGTTCAAATATCAAATTTATAAGTTCTATAATATGTATGACATTTGGTTCACTTTTATTTGTAAAACAACAGTGTTTTAACAAGACTTCGTCGAATCGACGATCATTAGTACTAAACTGTGTAAATTATGGTTAGTACTCTAGTATTTATCGTTTCTTTTTAATTTAATTTGTTTTTATTTTTTAAAAAGAAAATTGCAGTTAAAAAGTGCTTACATCAATATAACACAACAGCAACATTAGTAGATAACAATTGTTATAACAAAGCTTAGCCTTTTAAGCTTGTAGATGAATTATCGCATATTATTTGTTTGTATCCGGGGCTACGATATTGAATTTAACACAAATAACTTCGGAAAATGTTAAGCTACAAGAACGGTACACTGATTCTTGCTATTTCTGGACATTTTGCAGACAAATTTTTACATAATAAAATGGATAAAATCAGTCAAAATTTTGCCAGAGATGTAAATTTTAAGCGCCTTTGAAAAGTAAATACTAAAAGCATTTTTAAATATCTAAGAAACAAAATATATTTTATGAAAAAATTATCAAAATATGTATATAGAATTTTTAATCAAAGAAAAGGGGCAAAATGCGCATGGTTTTTAAGAAAAGTTTCAAAATAAGCCTATTTCTAAAAAGTCGGTGTCAGGGGGCATCGATCTCCAAAAAGTGTCAATTTGACACTTTAGTCGCACAACGGCAACACTGACTCCGATTCGAACTACAGAGTAAGGGTCCAGATTTCCTATTGGACATATTAAGTATATATCTGTATTTAAAGCAAAAATACACCACATTTTTACCTTACCACCTTACAAAAATGTCATCCAGAAAACTAGATTTTAATGCGCATACATAAGCTTAAGTATGTACATACTTATAACGGGTGATTTTTTTGAGGTTAGGATTTTCATGCATATACATAAATAAGTTAGGGCGGGTCAATTTGTATAGAAAATTTATTCGGCTATGCGCGTAAATATAGCACTGAACGATTATACATGTAATTCTAAGCAAATTAGGCGAAGAAATTTGGAGTTGGCCAAATTGTGAAAATATGTGTCTTGGCAGTGCTGTAATTTTGTATGAGGAATCCTTTCTGCACTTATCTTTTTCTTAAAACTTCTACCAGTGTCAAAAAAAAATTTACCCGCGCTAATGTATGTACGTATGTACATACATACATACATATGAACATACATATATGTATATACAATACAATGCATTGAATTTTCAATACAAATTACAGCTTTTGAACATTTACCAGCACTCAATAATGCATATTAAATACATTTATATATATTCATTCATATGAATGTATGTATGTAGAAAAGTATAGAAACGTACACTCATTTACATACATATGTACATAAATGTGCAGCACAGCATCGCCAGTGGTTAATCGAAATCAATTGAAATGTATCTAGAATATCAATCAAATGCAACGAAATGTTTAGCAACATTTGTATCTACAGCATGAACTTGCTTTGCTTTTGTCTCTGAACGCCACACAGCTCTTGTATGTACAATCATTGGTACCCGCCGCCGCCCCCAATATTCTTTGCGCTTCTCATGCAGCTGTTGCCATTATTTTAAGCGATTTTGTGGTACCACTTCAACCAGTTTTTCTTTGTTGGGGCTAGCGAGCAGTAGCTAAAGAGAATTGTGCGCATCGAAAGCGTTGGACTTGTACAAAAATACATACATACACACGTACATATGCATCTACAAACAAATGTTTTTGTAAGTAATATATGTACGTGAATATGGGTTAAAGCTGGAACTGAAACTTTTGATTACAAGCTGCTTCGATAGCTCTCTTTCGCTCGCATACGCAGTCACAGTTGATCGCTTGCGCCACTACGCTCATTCACTGACTTACCGCGCCGACCACCCCAAACGCACACTCTCACTCAAGCACCCACAGCCAAGTAGACGACCGACTTAACGCTAGCCAAAAGAGACCTGATGAATTAAGAGAGATACAAATCATTTATACTACAATTCACATCCGCCTTTTCATATTATTTGACTGGTAGGCAACGAACCAACAAACGAGCACAGTCATACATACGATTAACCAGCTGACGGCGGGCTGAGCTCAGCTAAATTGAGCTGAGTAGAACAGCAGAGAATTTAATACAAATGTAGAGGTATACCGTGAACTGCGGATAGACGCTGCAAAGCACTTTTGCTTTTATTTTCAAATGCTTACATTTATTCGCTCGCTGAGCTGTCGCGCTGACAGTAGTAGTTGATGGTGCGAACGCAGAGAGAAGTTGATTTTTTGGCTGCTAAAACGTTCGAGTTTTTCTGGTGCACCATGGAAAACCAATAGAGTAGATAAAAAATTAAATAAGTCAATTGGTGCTTTTTGGGTGTTCTCGCACGTTTTCGGTATTTGCAGGCCGTGACCCGAGAAATACTTAAATTAATTAAATAAAAAATAACTGGAAGAAAAGTTTAACAAAAAAAAAATCACTTAGTGTTCATTTAATTGCTTAAAAACAAGAAGAGTAGCTCGCAAATGCGTGTATTTAAATAAACAAAAAAAAAAAAGAAAAAGAAATACAACTAATACAAAGCGCTTCAGACGCCAGAGGGCAGACCAAAAAAGCTGGCGCACCAACTGTGAGCATAAAACACAAACAAAGTGTTTTGTTTATGTGCATTTTACATACATATCGAAAATTGGGCAATGCAAAGCGATAAATTAAACAAAAAAAAAAATAAATAACAAAAAATTTGTGTTCGCATCAGAAAAGTGTAAAATGTTAGCAAATTTAGGGAGGAGGAATCAAATAAAAAATTTTAAACAAAGTGCTGCAATAATTTTTTCAAGCAGCGCTGGAGTGTAAGCTGAAAACAGACAAAAGTACGTACAACAGAAACAAATATACATACATACATATATATTACGAAAAGTAGGTACATAAATATTTACGAAATGTGTAAATCAGGAAACAATTTTTTTTTTTTTTTGTTGAGAGTCAGCACGAGCAAGTTCCAGAATCATTAATACTGCATATTTTTGTAAATAACAAATATACAAATGATTTTAATTATGCAGAGGAAGTTACATACATATGTATGTTTTTTTTTCGTTTTACGTATACATACCAGTATATGCCATGAATTCTTGTCAGAGGACTCTCTTTTGTGTTATTATATTTATTTTTTATTTTGTTTTAATATATTATGCACTGCAGGTCATTGGGATAGCACACCCCTTTGTTTACATGTTTTTTTTTAATTTGTATAAAATTTTAAAATCGTAGTTACACGTAGAGTATGCTACATTTTTATAAAAATTTAATCAGTCTTAAACAAAAAACGGAAAATTTTAGGTACTTAGGATCAAAAGGGTGTGATATTCAAATGACTGGGAGTGTACCAAGAAGTGTATTTCTCTTAAGTCAAAGGCGGATGCTATTGATAATGGGCAAAATCAGGTAAAAACCACGACTACCTCACATATAACGGTACTTGGTTTGCTAAAATACATAAACTGCGATATCTTAGTAGCTACTAAAGCTTCTTCAATCAATATTTTTATATTTTCAATGACCCATTTTAGGAAAAATAAGAATATTATTATATTTTGAGAAAAATGGGCATAGCCCCACCCACATAAGTATACCTCGGTAACCTCTCCACCAATTTCTGCCAAACATGGCACAATTCTTGGCCTTAGTACAACATAGCAAAGAGCTGAAAATTTAAAGAAACAGACATAAACACGCTCACGTCCCATATAACGGTAATTTTGAGAAATACGCATTCTTCGATAAAACAGTAACTACTCAAGAAAATTGACTCAAAATTGATGTTTGAAATAATTCTTACTTAGTTTTTACTGTCAATGCTGGCGTTTATACCAAATGCTTCTCATTAGTATTTATGAAATAAAAAAAGATTTCAATTATGGATCCTACTTGAATCTCCTCTCTCTACGATAATTCTAAGAGGTATCGCATCGATCGTTTATTTTTGTCATAAGAATACTATGTAATAAAATTATTTCCTCGCTTTTCTGGTCAATATAATTTTCAATCAAAGCATCTTCGAAAAACGGAGAAATTTCTTTTTTAATTATGACTTAGTGTCTTCAAAAAAAAATTGGTTTGGTCCAATATCCAGCCAAGTGCTGTACAGTGTAATTGATAATTGCTTTTTTTTTTTTTTGTTTACTAACAGCTAATTAAAAAAAAATATTTATGTTTTTTATACTTTTTGCTATTACTGAAGCAATTTTCTGTCAGATTTACGCTTTCAAAGCAACAAACACGACGGAAAAGAAATAAACAAATTACTTAGTTTTTATTTAAGGAAATTAAATTGCTGTCTTAGATAGATTTTATATGTAAGTATCTACATATGAACTTGAATACAGATGCATCAACTTAACCCTCACAGTTATATTTTTCGCTACCTTCATAGTTAAATTATACAAGTCAAAGGGCACGCAAACAGACATGTAAATGAAAGAAAAGACAATAGACCTGCAGGCGCAGCTGCCACGCGAACAACAACCCCCTGATGTGGTGACTCGTTAGGCAACATTTGCAAAATGCATTTTCCCACCACCGAATGACAGACCGGGAAATGTACAGTTTTTGCAACTTGCTTTCTTCAGCTCATCCGATTCAAACGCCTACCCACCCTGTTTTCTAACAATTTCTACTTTCTTGTACATAATTAAGTACAAACACATGTACGATAAAAGTAATCACATGTACGATAAAAATATATACATACCTTACAGGCAATTTTAAAAAAAAAAAATTTTGGCCGAAACTGGGTCGCCTTTTTTACATTTTTCGGTGACACCTATGTACATTTGGCAAATAAAGAAGCGGAAGTTTAATGCTTTTTGTTGAGCTTTAATTTACTGGCATTAGGGTGGCCTTAGGGTGGTGGGAACTGAGATCTGGTGGCAAGGATTTGGGGTGAATGAACTTTGGAAATAAACGCCTCCTCGATACAAAAACATTGATAAGCATCGACTTTAAAATGCGACTGTAAAGGCCGAAGATGCGACTACAATAACAATAAACTGATCTCCGTAAAAGATTACAAAATATATACATAGGTTTTTATCGATAAATTTTTGCCAAACTTATGGCTAGAAAATCTTTTAAAAGAGCGAAGATTACTGCAGGGCGGCTGATAGACATTTATGAAATACTAATAGGGCATTATGGTCCGAATTTTGTAATGAACTAGAATCAACTTTAGAAGTCGCGTGATTCGGCAGATTTTAGGAGTCCGACTTCACCCAGTTTGCTTGAAAATCCAGGAAGAAATCAAACTTGCAGCATTGGCGCATCACGTTCACCCTATTTATTCCTACACGGTTTTAACTTAGTACTTTGAAGCCCGACTGACTATATATAACTGTCCAGATAATAGGTGATCTACTGCTTCGGACGATCTGGAAGTGACGAGTTTAAAATTGCTTGGTGTGAGTGTATCGAATGCAAGTGACTTGAGTATACCAACTCAGTAGTTATTGCTATCGACGAAGACTAGCTTAAATCATAAAATCTTTCCAGTCCCGCAAAGACAGTGGAGGATACATACATATATCTCATGCCAACCCGTCGCCTTCTTTGTTGTCTTAAACCCCACATAAGCTGGTATCTGGGATCAAGAGCAGGGAGCCCGTTTGTTCATAAATAGACATTTTTTGCCAAAACTTACTACTTTGGACATGGAACACCGCATCTTTCTAATCCTGAATGAAACTTATGATAAATGGCAATTTTTGTTCGATGGGGAAAGTCTCTGCTTTTCAAACACTCTCGTTTTATCTCCAACAGCCTGAGGTTGTGGCCAACGGTGAAGAACGAAGAATTTTGGTGGCATTTAAAGTATGTCATCAAATAATGTAGTAAGTAGGCCTTCCATCCATCAACCACATTTAGCAACTTGGAAGTATCTCTGCCAATACGGTTTTAAAAATTTAAACACCGCACTTTTTCACTGCTCGATTAACATTTAAGAGATTCTGATATCGCTTTCAATGCATTCTCTCTGTTCAAAAGCAAGGCACTCTCAGTATGAAACGCAAGTTCCCAGAGTTTCTTAATTCTTATAAGGAAATATTTTTTATTTCATATCATAATCCAGTGATGCTGAAAATAACTTCTATCTTGTCTGCTGAGCGATTTGAATTGCGACTGCGCCTCCTTTATTGAGTAGTATTCGAATACAACCAGAGAGGCCTTACTTTCCAAAATTCTTTTTGTTGGGTAATCCATAAGAGCAGTCAAGTCATAAGTGGGAAAAAGTGCGCAAATACATACATTTGTACATACAGAGTGCCTGTCTATTGCTAAGTGGATTATTTAGTTTAACAGAATTTTTATGCCGCCACAAATAACTCTCATCTTAGTTTAAGTAACCCAACTTTTATTTTGATATCTGTAAAAATGTTTACAGTTACTATTGCCATGATAAAACGGTTATTGCAAGGGGCTGGAAAGTGGTCGCACGAGACATTTATTACACCGGTTCACAGAAAAAGTGGTGTGCGCTTTTAACCAGAAACTGCATCTGAATCTGAGATCCGTTTGACTCATAGCCCTCCTAAATTTCGAGTAAATCACAAAAACCGAAAAAAATTCTCAATTGTCGCAATTTTCTCGAAATTTTGGAGGTGTACGAGTCAAACGTACCTCGAATTCAGATTCAGCGGGTCAAAATTGGTACATGTCGGTAGGTGGGTCTGGTTAAATAAACATACCACTTTTTTGATGTGAATACATCTTAGGTTTCGGTAGGGGTAAAATTTGCGAAGCTGCAACGCATAAAATTTCGAAGTGATGCATGCATGTACATATATTGCAGCAGAAAATTTTTAAAATCATTGGTAGCACCCTGTGTTCACTTGCTATTGCATATGTTTGCATAGATTTAGGCATATGCTGAGTAAGCGGAAATGCGGTACAGATGATTTTTACGTCCTATTATGCAAACTGCACGCATGCATACGGCTATGTACTTATGTATGTACATAAATATCTATTAGAGGGTTGCAAAGATTCCAGCCAAACTGCACTTCTCACATTCAATCGAAAAATGAGAGCACATTTTTGCGGTACCTAAAACAAAGGGACCAAAAGTAGAGAACATCCCAAATGAGCTTTCCTGATCGATGTTACTCGACGGCGCTCTTCTTCACCAAATACATGTTCCGCTATGCTCGCATAGGAAGGTCAAACTGCACGTGAAGTTTTATGTTCTCTTTATGGGTTTGGTTTCTACTTAGATATAACACGCGAAGACAAATTTTTTTTTGAATGTGATCAGGTTTGCATTCGTTCGATTTCCAAAAATGTGGTGTGATATTAAAGCGCTTGGCCTGTAGATGTGTACTAAAGTTTAATTTTTTTTAAGTGTTGCCGCCTGTTAAAAATATTTATTAAAATTATTTAATATTTAAGTTAGATCAGTTATTAACGTGTGGGTATTACTATAAATTCGTTTGAAAAGGCTCCATTTATAACAAATATGTAGGAGCATTGCCACCCGTTTAAAACGTCAAATTGAACTTAAATTAAGGGAGCTAGGTAAATGAAATACATACATATTTATGTATTAAAATATGGGTGTTCGAATACGTGAAGCAATTTTTTTTTGAAGGAGATCAAATCTGCACAGTTCTTTTGAATTTAAAAATCAGATGTCAATGCAAGGACCTTGGTTTTATTTTTTGTAGTAAGAACTTTTTAGAGGTACAGGGTGAATTGATGCAATTGATATCAATAACAAAACCTATAAAAATATCGATTACAAAATCGATGACAAATTCGTTAAAAATTTCGATAGCAAAATCGATAATAATATTGGTAGAAAAATCGATTAAAACAT